CTTCCTGTCTTCCTTTGGGCTATTAACTAGTAATTATTAAATCTTTATGGTCATGTTTATTGGAAAGTGAACATCCTGGCAGTAGCTTTTCTGTTCAGGACTATTGTCTGCCTCTCTCATGTTCCTTAGTAATATTTTATTGTTTTCTTCATACTTTGTTAAATTTTATTTATTAATATTTATCACTATTATTGGCATTCTGAGCAGGAGTCCTTCCTTTCATTTTCATTGGGTTCACAGACTTTCCTGTGAATAACTTGGGTTTTGTGGGCCAGATGGTCTCTGTCATAGGTTCTTCTTTGTTGTCGTTCACAGCGTTTTTAAAAAATGTAAAATCATTCTTAACTGGAGACCAAGAGGCCAGCTGGTGGTTTGCCAGCCTCTGATGTAGACACTTAATGCTGGCATTTGGAAAATGTTTGATTCGGTTCCATTGAAAGTATCTTGCTTTTTTTCCCCCCCCCCCAGTACTGGGGATTGAACTCTGGGGCACTCAACCATTGAGCCATATGCCCCAGCCGCACTTTGTATTTTATTTAGAAACAGGGTCTCACTGATTTGCTTAGCGCCTCACCATTGCTGAGGCTGGCTTTGAACTCTCAATCCTCCTGTCTCAGCCTCTTGAGCCTCAGGGATTACAGGTACACACCACTTGTTCATGTGTTCTGTAATTTAATTGTTATTTAATTGCAGATTCTCTGATTTTCAGATCTCTTAATACAGTTGTAATTTGGACTTTTCCTTTTGAATACTTTCTCATCTTTGTGTGCAGTGCCCATGTTACCAGAGTCTTAGGCTCCAACACATCAGGACCAGCCGCTTGTCCCAAAAACCAAACAGAAAAGTAATGGTGAAAAGCAGAGTAGGTACCTACAGCGTAACTACACTGAGAGCGTAAGGGAGATCATGTTTTCACCCCTATCTTTGAGGGACTGATAAAGTCTTAAGGTTTTGTAGAAAAAATGAGGGCAAGGGTGGCAGGTTGCACAGCTGGAAGCTTTGCAAATCCACCAAAGCAGATGCATATTGATCAGGTATGGTCTGGACCATCATTATCTCAGGACTGGTGAGGTGAGGACTTTGGTCTATCACAAGATGCTTATTGATCAGGTCTGTTATTCCTGGAATCAGGTGACTCGGGAGCACAAGAAACAGATGCGAAATGGAGACAGAGATGCAGATGAGAGTGAAGGCTCTGAGTGCTTTTTAGACTAGCAGTGATGTTGAATCTCTGACTTGTTCCTGACGTAATGCACCTGCCCTGTCAGGTATAGGTGTGATGCAGTAGGAGTATTAAGCAAGAATGACTGTTACATATTAGGTTCCTTTAAAAAAAGACAATACCTCATTCCAGAACTTTTGAGGAACCTTTAATATACAAGCCAACTTCAGCGCTGGGAACCATAGGTCTGATAGTGAGACTCTAGATTCTGCCTCTTGCTCCTGCAGCTGGCTGGGCAGGCAGGTGGACATTATCTTTCTGTTTTGAGACCATCTTCATGGTCCTGAGACACAGTGATGAGGTGATAATCAGAGGAGGTATCCACAGACGATACCCCAAGAGAAAGGGGCAATGTACAGGCTGCCCATTTTTGAGGGATGGCATGTTCAAGATCCAGAGGGTTAGAAGAGGGCCAGCACCTACAAAGAACTGAAGCAGAGCACTTAGGAGGGGGCTAAAGCAAGACCTGGAGAGGAGGTTGGGAGGTTCCTTTCATCTCTCACTTGTCCTGCTGTCATCATCATGGTGTCGTCATTATTCCTGGGAAGGAATTTTGTCATTCTGAAACTAATTGTCAAGTCATCAAAGAGCATGCTAACATTTTATGGGATGCTCTTGGTGGTTGCAGAATGGACAAGTGTTTAGGGCCATTAAGATGGAACAGGAAGATGATTGAAGTTCTTGGGGAGATGCTGCTGAGAGATGATGCTGACCTGTTCTGAGGAGTAGCCAGGTGGGTGGAAAGAAATGCAGGTTGGGGAGTTCCTGATCCGATGAAGGTGGGAACCCCTCGTTTCACCCCTTTCTGTTGGGGTAACTTAGTTACATCAGTACTTCTGTGACCACCTCACAGTGTCTTAGGGCCATTAAATGGTTGTAACACAGAGAAATAATGGCCACCTGCCTGCTTAGCCAGATGGCTGTCGGAATAAGAGGCAGAATCTCTGGAAAAGGCACCCAGCTCTGTCCCTTATCCCTGGAGCACCCTCAGGAATGACAAAGAGGGAAGAAACCACCTGCAGGTCTTGTGGAGGCAGTGCTCAGAGGCCAGCTGGCATGGGCTCTATTTGTCCAGGGAAGTCATCTGTAGCTAAGCATTGAAAGGGAAGTTTTATGTCTTGTTGGTGTAAGTAGGACAGGTGAGAAAACTGATTAAAGTCCGAATCCCCTTCCACTGCTTTTGGCTCTGTATCTTTTGGTGAGTAGCTTTACTTCTCTGAAGCTCACATTCTGCTTTTGTGGACTTAGAGGGCACATCAATCATATGCTCACTGGCTATTAATAACTGCCATTGATATAAGGACAGGTAAGAGATGTTCCTATCGCATGTTGGCACTTAGCAACTAGAAAACTGCTCTTATTCATCCTGCTGTATCTTCATCCTGGTCTTTCATCCTTTGGCTCCTCCTTCCCCTGTCAAGTGGTCAGGGACAAGACAGCAGGTAGACTTGCTTATTCTTTTTCTTTTTGCAGGGAGTAGGATGGGATGAGGGGCATCATGAGTTGGTGAACTCTCCCCAGAATTTCCTTCTTGTTTGAGTATCAGTTTGAACACAGAGCCTAAACTTCACTCTGCCCTCTCCCTTTGGCTTTCATCTTTTGCATTTTGCCTGTGGACCTTGGCATTTACCCACACAAAAGTTCATCCTGTGTGGATGAAACCTCTGATCTCAGGTTGATGTGTGGTTTATGGCCTTGTGGACTGGGGTGCGGAATGCTCTGTTTTGGGAACAGTTTCCAAGATGAGGGGAAATGTGTATGTGTGTAAATTATATATTTAGTTGTAGTTGGATATTATTTATTTATTTTTTACGTGCTGCTGAGGATCGAACCCAGTGCCTTGCGTGTGCTAGATAAGCCCTCTACCGCTGAGCCACAAGAATATATATTTTTTGTTCAGTAGTCACTGTGTTCCTCCCCTCTCTACCCCTATTGCGGTCCCCTTCCTGATTCTGAAGCCCTCTCCCTGCTTCTTTCCTTAGATCCCCTTTTCTGTGCACTGAGGATGTTGAGCAGCACCCTGGCCTTTTCCTGCTAGAGACCACTAGCTCTCCCCCAGCCTTGACGGCCAAAAATGCCTCCAGACCTTGCCACGTGTCTTGTGGAGAGTGGAATCATTATGGGTTGAGAACTACCGCTTTAAACAAGCGTGGATATGGCAGGATTGAAAATGTAGCCCCCCAGAAGAATGTGCTGGGCGAACCCAGCTCTCTCTATTATTCTGGTGCAAGTTGATGTTCCAGCAGCTGTTTCTTTTCATTTTCCCTTTTTACCCTCTGACTGTTGAACTCTCAAACTTTGCATAATTCTTTCTTTTTTCTTATCTGTTTGTATTTTATTCCCCTCCCTCGCTCAGCCACAGGATTTGTTGAATGAACAAGTGTCCCATGAAGAATTCCTTGAACAGAGTTTCCTACTTGTATTTCCACACTCCATGTAGTAGGCTGTCTTCACATTTGCAGGGCATTTTGGTTGGATTATTTTGTTCTTGACGGGAAACTAAGTAATTGGTGGTAAAATGTGACCATGGGCTCTGCCCCTCCCACGGCTGCATGTGAGCATGATTATTTTCTTTATGAAAATCCAGGCATACGTAGGCCCGTTTTACTTATGTGTGCCAGCCCACGTAGGGATTCCGTGTGCCCTCTCATTTTCAAAGCTGAGTTCTCCCAATGCTCGTAAATCTAGGGTGGGTCACTTTTATTGTTTAGGTCTCACTTCATGGTTTAAAATTGAGGTTTTATTGTCTGCTGCTTCACTGAGGCTTGGCTGCATAGAATTGTTCTAGAAACTTCCTTATTTTGACTTTTTCTTAGATTTATCTCTTAGTTCAAAGCATTACGTTATTTCTTTTTTTTCTTCTTTTTTTAAAAAATTTTTTATAGTTGTAGATGGACAGAATGCCTTTATTTTATTTTTATGTGGTGCTGAGGATCGAACCCAGTGCCTCTTATTTCTTAAATAAATGTCAGAGTCTCTCCAATTTCTCTGGGCTTGTCAGATGCATTCTGGGTCTGGTAATGTGGATCCCTCTCCTTCCACCTCCTGTCTTTTCCTGTTTCTTGCCACTTTACCTTCCTTTTTGGGGGCAAGAGGGAGGGTTTGAGTTTCTATTTTAGGTTTATTTTGTAATTTCATTCATACTGAATGTTTTGACTCCTTTTTTTGTGTGTGTGTGTGGTATTCTGCCCATTTTAAAACTCACCTTGCTTCCTTCCTGGAATTCTGTGTGACCATTTAATCCTAGCTTGATTTTATTTCCTCTTTTTAATACTTTGAATGCCTGCCTCTGCCCTTAATGGGGCACATGTAGCGAATATTCAGTCATGATAAATTGCCTATATCCACATCATCCAGTGTGATAGCCACCAGGCACAAGTGGCTATATAAATTTAATTAATTAAAATTCAATTTCTCATTTGCACTAGCCTCATAAGAGCCAAAGGTGGCCAGTGTGACTCCTGGTCAGGGCAGATACAGAACATTGCTACTGCATAATATTCTGTTAGGTTAAACTGTGTTATGAGATATATCCAAGTGCATGTCAGAGACTTACCTTAATCGTTTTTCCCCCCTGATATTGTGATATTTTTGATAATCTAACTTAGTGGTCCTGGTTTCCAGGGGGCCATTCAGAAGAGAATGGGTACTTGAGAAGTATATTTTTGGATGTCTGTATCTAACTAATATGACTTTTTCTGTACAGGGAACTATATGATCCTGGGTCCTTGGGTTGTATGTGTGCTTTGTGGTGATTTGTTTGTAATCTCTCTTGCAGGTGCTGAGATGGTACTCACAGGTTTCATATCCATCTGAGAATCCGGTGCTGCAGGCACCAGAGGAGTTGACTGATTTGAGCTCCTGGCTTGAATAGCCTTCACTCCCTCACACCACCGGCCACTCAGGCTTACTCAGCTTCTCTTGATGATGGGTATTGGCAAGAACACCACATCCAAATCAATGGAGGCCGGGAGTTCCACAGAAGGCAAATATGAAGATGACCCGAAGCACCCCACTTTCTTTACTCTTCCGGTAATAGTGCTCCTTATCTTCATTCTTTAGATCACTCTAAAGTAATTCTGCATAGAGTCAGTGTAAAACAGGCTTTAATACATATGTTTTCAATGAAGGCTCCCAGCCTGGAGTCCCCTGCTGGGATTAACTCCAGGGAGGAAGCATGCATTGCTAATAACATTGTAAAACTGGCCGGTACTTACTGCCAGATATTGAAACCTTAATTTTTTTTTTTTTTATCCAAGAATGTGCTGTTATGAAATAATATGGTAATCTCACCTCTCCTTTTATTGCAAGGTGGGAGGGGAATGGCATATCATTTGAAACCCAGTGCCTGTGGTTGGTGTTATGGCTGCAACATCCAGAATAGAAGTAATTTTATCCAAAGAAGTGGTATCAGACAAGGCTGATCACACTCATCCATTATATTCAGTACTAATGTTTTCCCCCAGATGTCAGATTATGGTTTGATGTGTATAAAGTTTCTTAAAAAGTATTGGTTATGAAAGGGAAAAAGCTCTTTAGAGAGAACTTGCTTTATGGTGTTTGTCTCTTAAGATTGGAAATATGGTTAAGTCAAGAATACCATTCTAGGATTCCTTAAAACCTGGTTCTGGAATTTGCCTTTTGTGTTGGGTAGTGCTCAGTGAGAAAAGCAAGGTGTGAGCATGTATTTTGATTGATTACATTATTTTGATTGATTACTCGTGCTCATATTTTGTTTTTACCTTAGCTGTTAAAGAAATGTTCTCTGATTTTTACAACCGGCAGCACTATTTTCTTTTTGCCTATAAAGTGAAAATTACAAAGCTGGATTTTCTATGATGTTTAAACTAATGAATAGCTTATTCATTAGTTTGTTGTTCATGTTTAAATTAGACCAGCTTTGAAGAGTAAAAAGGAGTTTCCTGCAGGTCTCTCCTGGCTTTTTTTTTTTTTTTTTTGCCTTAGAGACCAGCAGATTATTTATTCCCATATTTCTTTACTTCACAGACAAGAACTGAACCATGACTTCACCTCCCCCTTGCCTTGCCATATAGTCTAGGATTTGGGGTTAATTTATTTTAGCATTGAACTGGTGATACTAGAATTCACCAGCATATGTTAGCAGTTCTCCTGTTCCCTGTTGTCTTTTGCATCCTTCTGATTCCTAGTTAGTTCACTTTTCTTTTGAAACACACCAAGTGTTTGTAGATGGTGACTCTTAGTGTTTGCATCTGAAAAATTATTGTATTTTGCTCTCAACTTGTGAATAAACTTCTAACTATGCGCTATTTCTCTTCCACTGCTTCCTCGCACCCTTCTCAGGGCTGCCCTCTGGATGAAACCTCCAGTAATTTCTACTTTATCGATTTGTAAAATCATGTGTTTATATTGGATTTTTATTGTAATGATTATTCTACAATTTCCACTTGGTTCATTTCTGCTTACCTTTAGTTCTTAATTTCTTGAACATGTGTACTTTTATAAATTTTTTTAAATTTTTGTATGTATTTGGTTTTGTTTTTCTTTGTTTTGTAGTGCTAGGAATTGAAGCTAGGACCTCCTGTATGCTAGGTGTGCACTCTGCCATTGAACTATGCCCCTGGCCCTTATATGTATTTTTTTAAGAGAGAGAGAGAGAGAGAGAAATTTTAATATTTATTTTTTAGTTCCTGGCGGACACAACATCTTTGTTGGTATGTGGTGCTGAGGATCGAACCCGGGCCACACGCATGCCAAACGACTGTGCTACCGCTTGAGCCACATCTCCAGCCCTATGTATTTTTTTTTAATATTTATTTTTTAGTTGTAGTTGGACACAATACCTTTACTTATTTATTTTTATGTAGTGCTCAGGATTGAACCTAGGGCCATTCATGTACTAGGTGAGCGCTCTACTGCTGAGCCACAATCCCAGTCCATATATTTGTTTTTAAATGTTTCTTCATTTGAATCATTAAGAGTGCTAATATACCTTTAAAACAACAACAACAACAACAAAAACCACAGTATTGGGGATTGACCAGGGATTCGAATATGCTAGGCAAGCTCTCTACCTACTGAGCTATATTCCCAATCCTTTTTATGTTTTAATTTTATTTTGAGACAAGGTCTACGTTGCCCGAGCTGACTTTGAACTTGTGATCTTCCTACCTCTGCCTCCCCAGTAACAGATTGCTATTAGGCCTGGTTACTAACATACTTATTTTACAGTCTCTCTCCAGTTGTTTTCTTTTCCTCTGGATCTTTGGGTATTTTCTTCTCTATGATCCAATAGAAAACTTCTGGAAAGTGCAAAGGTACTTTCCTGTCCTGTGTAAGTCCAGAATCTGGTCATAGAGTGGAGACTTTGTTCTCTCCCCTGGGAGTGCCCACAATGACATGAAGGAGTGTGGATTCCTGCCGAGTCCTCTTGTCGGATTTCCGGGTCCAAGCCCTGCAGGTTCCAGCATCAGTCCCGTTTATTGCTTTATGTTTCTTACGTGTGGAAACATTTTTTAAAATAAGTTTGCCTATTTGGGGGCTTTCCTCTCTGTCACTGTTATAATTGTAAGGGTGTGGTTGGGAAGGCACATTCTTCAAAGCGTTAATGTCTAGGTGCACCATTACCGGGAGTCCTTGTAAGCACAAGGGAGCTGGGAATGTGGTAACCCAGAGTTGGATATAAATATAAGTCATTTTGAATGACTTGCTAATGAACAGGACGGAGGCCGAGGCTAGGAATGGGATTAATGTGGCCACGACCTCTCTGAGGCTTACGTGCATCTATCTGTTCTTCATTTAGTCATAAGATGCAAACACTAATTTAATAGAATCCAACAGCCTTAGAGCTGAAACTGGCTTTAGAACTTTCCTAGTGGTTCTGTGGAAGGTAAAATGCAGGTATTTGCTGAAAACATCTAGTTCATATGAGTCGTTAATTATGTAAAGTTTCTATCAGTCAGATCATATAGGCTCTGGAACCCAAGAAAGTCTTAGGCAGGAAACCAAGATCTGAGCTGCCCCTAAGCAACACTGATAGAAGGTGGAGGGCATTGATCATACTGATTTTAACAGATATCCTTGGGGGGTGGTTTAAGAGTGAACTGAAGGCCTAGCTTAGTGATAGGGCAAGTGCCTAGCGTGTGTGAAGCTCTGGGTTCAAGCCCCAGCATGCCGTGAGAGGTGGCCCATTGTCTGTGCATAAAGCTTTACGGTTTACTCAGCTTTCGAGTAGTAAGGGAGGCAGAGATGGCGAGTTGACAATCCTAGCATAGTGGAGTGGAGTGGCCACCACCACTGTAGTAGGGGGTCCTATAGGGCACCACTAGAGGACTGCAGTCCCCTTGTTTGGGGAGACTGATTTGAGTGAGGACAGATTAGGATAGTAAGAGTTTGGGGTCTGGGCAGTACCAAAGACCTGGACTCAGGTGGGGACAATATGAATGGAGATGAGGTTGATGGAAGGGATGCTAAGATTTGGGGACCAAGAGAAGGGGAAAGTTCATGATGCCTGTCGAGGTTTTTTACATAGGTACCTGGTTGGTACCCATGCTAGCCAGTGGCCAGCACCAGGCATGTTTTGAAAGCATGGTCCCTAAACGCAGCAATCGGTTGAGAGGTGGAGCTTTTAGGCCATGATTGGGCTGCGAGGACTCTGACATCGGTGAATTGATAGCTTATTGGACTTCAGGGAGGTGAGACCTAGTTGGAGGGCATTCCCTGGAAGTGTTCATCTTCTCTCCTGCCCTTCTATTCACTCTTATTTTTTCCTTCTCTCTCTGCTCTCTGGCTTCCTTCAGCTGAGCAACTATCCTCCACCATAGCCTTCCACCATGATGTTTCTGCTCTGGCATTAGTCAGCCGTGGACCAAAACCTCTGAAATCATGAGCCAAAATAAATCTATCTTCCTCTAAGTTCTTGTCAGGTATTTTGGTCACAGTGTCGAAAAGCTCACTAACACAGTACCTTTGCAGAAAAATATGGAATCTAAGGAAAACCGTAAGTTCAGAAGGTGGGAGATGGAGATGATGATTTCATTTGAAAAGTTGTGGATTTGAATAGCAGAATTGGCTTGCTTGCAATGGCGAGAGGAGACAGACGTTAGATAAATATATGAATCTTATGGCTGCCACTGGCCAGTTCTGTGAAGAGAAGTAAATCAGGAAAGAGAGATAGTGAGGAATAGAATGTGAGGTCAGATGGATCATATTGAACTACTGGCTATGCATGAATTTTTTTAAAAGTATGTATTAGTGCCTCCCCAAATCCTTGACCTCGTGGAGCTTCTGACCTGGGGGAGAGACAGACAAAACACAGTAGAAATAAGTCAAATGTGCAGATGATATTAGATATAAATATGTACTAAGGAAAAAACAGGGGAGAGGATTAACATGGTGAAAGTTTGGGTAGCCCAGAAGGACTGCACTGTCAAGGTGGTGTTTGAGGAAAGCCTGGAGGAGTGGAGGGAAGCCTGTCATGACTGTTGGCAGCAAGTGTAAAGATCCTGAGGCAGGGAGGCAGGTGCCTGGTGTGCTGGGGATCAAGGCTGGAGGGGTGGAATCAGCTGGAGATTGTATAGGCCTCAGGGTCTAGATCAAGGTTTTGGCTTTTTCTGGGTTGCAAAAAGCTTTGATCCAGGCAAGAGCTGACTCCACAGACAGGGGGCCTGACCTGGCTCTAGCCAGGGTACCAGCCACGTGGAGGTTAGAAGTGGCCAACCCTGGAGGAGGATTGGCTTCTGGGCCTGACAAGGGTGGGAGCAAGGGGAGGAGGTAAGGGTAACTTCCAGCCATTTCCCCAAGCATCTGGTCAAGTCCTGAGGGGAAGAACCAGGTTGAAGGAGGGAGTAGTTTAGAGAACAGCATTGCCTGTGGGGACATCAGTTTTGGGGTTAGAAAATTGGATTTGAGATTGTGGTGCTCAAGGAAAAAGTGGCTGGGAGGTAACAGTGTGGAGATGGTTTTTAAAGCTCGGGGACAGTGAGCGGTACGTGTTGCCAAAGAGGAAAGAGATTTGGAGGCTGGGAGAGGACCAGCAGAGGGGACAGCTGGGG